TGTATTGTTGACCACCACTATTTTGTTTCCTTCAGTTAGTGTGCTCTTACTATAGTTTGTGCAAGCTGCATAACAGTTCTCTATATGATATTAAGATGTTTTACTTTTTTTACTAATATTAATACGTTTAATGGGTTGTGTTTATAGGAAATTACTAATATTAATACACAGACAGTCGGAATTTCCTTTATTTTGTTCCTCGTAACCCTCCGTAGTTATTACAGCTGCTGTATTAACTGAAACGTGTTACGTCCTCGAAAGCTCATGTATTTAGTAGAAATTGGGGTTCAATTTTGCAACCCCTCCCCTAAGATCTGAATGTGATCAAAATTCACTTCAACAATAAATGATTCGTTCCAAATACTTAGAACGTGGATACTTGGCGAGACTGGCTGTTCTGGTCATCTTCACCAACATTAGTCCACTACATCTAATGGTCAATTTTACCGATTTTACAGATAACCCATTTCTCTGTGACTGCAACGTAGCCTGGTTTCGAGAGTGGATGCGAAATAACGGCAGCATTGTAGTGAGCATGCCCAGAGAGACTTGTTGCCAGAATCCTCGTGACCTGAAAGGGATTCCTATGGCCGAAGCTCCCAACGACAGGTTTCACATGTGCTCCACCGCTTCCTCCTCCTCCTGCCACGTGCTCCTTTCAATATGGGTATTAATCTCCAACCAGTGCATCATCACGAACTTCCTTGCGTGGGTGATAGGATATACCTGACAGACAAACACGAATTTTAAATTGTGAAACAGGACAACAGGTTTCAAGGATTCTGACGAGGGTTGTTTTGAAACTCAAACTCTGGTAGAGACTGTAAAGCAAACGAAAGTTTGGTGTGACACTATACTTAATGTCTCTGTGTGTGAGGGTTTTAAACTTATTTTCTAACATCTTATGTCTTTAATTTGTATATCAATAAAAAAATTGTATTAAAAACTGTACATAGAACATGAACATTAAACGAATGTACTTATAAATACCAGAAGTTGTAAAGGGTCTAATGTTTAACTCTTTATCAGAGTACGGTGTTATCCACCACTCTGATGTAAAAGGACAACACATTATGCATGCTGTAAGTACGGTGTTGTCCACCACTCTGATGTAAAGGGACAACACATTATGAATGCTGTAAGTACGGTGTTGTCCACCACACTGATGTAAAAAGACAACACATTATGAATGCTGTAAGTACGGTGTTGTCCACCACTCTGATGTAAAAAGACAACACATTATGTATGCTGTGAGTACAGTGTTATCCACCACACTGGTGTAAAAGGACAACACATTATGAATGCTGTAAGTATGGTGTTATCCACCACTCTGATGTAAAAAGACAACACATTATGAATGCTGTGAGTACAGTGTTATCCACCACACTGGTGTAAAAGGACAACACATTATGCATGCTGTAAGTACGGTGTTATCCACCACACTGATGTAAAAGGACAACACATTATGAATGCTGTGAGTACGGTGTTATCCACCACACTGATGTAAAAGGACAACACATTATGAATGCTGTAAGTACGGTGTTATCCACCACACTGATGTAAAAGGACAACACATTATGAATGCTGTGAGTACGGTGTTATCCACCACTCTGATGTAAAAGGACAACACATTATGAATGCTGTAAGTACGGTGTTATCCACCACACTGATGTAAAAGGACAACACATTATGAATGCTGTGAGTACGGTGTTATCCACCACACTGGTGTAAAAGGACAACACATTATGAATGCTGTGAGTACAGTGTTATCCAACACTCTGGTGTAAAAGGACAACACATTATGAATGCTGTAAGTACGGTGTTGTCCACCACTCTGATGTAAAAGGACAACACATTATGAATGCTGTAAGTACGGTGTTATCCACCACACTGGTGTAAAAGGACAACACATTATGAATGCTGTGAGTACAGTGTTATCCAACACTCTGGTGTAAAAGAACAACACATTATGCATGCTGTAAGTACGGTGTTATCCACCACACTAATGTAAAAAGACAACACAGTGTTATCTAAAACTCTGAATAACACAAGAAGATTGGATTAGAACATTGATTAACGAGAGCTAGATTTCGTTATCTTTCGTCAAGGTCATCCTCACTGAGCTTATTTTCATCAAGGTCATCCTCACTGAGCTTATTTTCATCAAGGTCATCCTCACTGAGCTTATTTTCATCAAGGTCATCCTCACTGAGCTTATTTTCATCAAGGTCATCCTCACTGAGCTTATTTTCATCAAGGTTATCATCATTAAGCTTATTTTTATTTTGATCATCATCATTAAGATTAACCTTCCAACAGAAACAAGATCGTTAAGGAGTCAGAACTGATTCGGCTTAGATTAAAGTCATTCTTCAGTGGAGTCAGCGATTCACATGTAATATAGGTTATTCTTCAGCCTGGGGTCAGTTATTAATGAAAACTGAATCACAATCAGTGGGTTATGTGAACTACAGGTCGTTCTTCAGCCTGGGGTCAGTGATTGATAATAACAATTGATAACAAAACTGGTTTATTCTATTAGTTAACTTAGAATCGTTTTCTAACTGAAATCACCAGCAATGGATAACAAAGAGTAGCAAGATAAAACGTGTTTCTATAGCAACCTTAACTACTGGAAGCTACCTACATATATCTTAACTTCACATCGCTCCGGTACTATACCGTTCTTACTTACAAAGATTAGAAACCAGTAAGCCTAGAATTTGTAATTAAAATCAAATGTTTACTTTTTTCACATTTCTCTTAACTTGTCCATTTCGAATTCGAAATCAGAGGCGTGTAAAAATAGCGTTTCGTATCTATTCTTTGTCTTCTACAAGTCACTGCCAAAGAGGCCTTTCGTTTAATAATATAACTCGTCACTCGGTATTAGACGATGAGACCTTGAGATTTCTCCAAATCACTTTTTATCATGTGCAGTATAATATTTGAAAAGTTGCGGTTTAAACGCCGCAAGGTGGCGAGAGGAAGTGATCACAATTTGAAAGATGATAAGGTAATTAACGTAATTTCCTATAAACACAACCCATTAAACATATTAATATTA